GGGGAGGGGGACAGGACATGCCCAGGTACTTTGACATGCCCTGTCTGACCTGAGTCCATGTTCTCCACTCTAATTTTGTCTTGATGCCCCCAGCCACAACCACTTGCCCCTGCTCCTGAGACAGCTTTTCCAGAACAGGCTACAAGATGTTAACCTGCGCAATTTCAGTTATGGCCAGACCAGCTTGGACAAGCTCAGGGATGGCCTCGTGGGTGCCCAGGTACCACAGGGATATACAGGGTGCCACAGCATGGCTGCTGGGGAATGTCGGGGGCCACAGAAACCTGGGTAGGCAGGCCTCTCAGTGATTAGAATCGTAGAACACACAATGTGTCATCGCATGACTGCTGGGAATGTGGGGGCTCTGGAGGCCAAGACAGGCCAACCACATGGGTACCCAGGTTCTGTGGAGACACACAGAAAGTGACCAGAAAATCCCTGGTGAGTGTGGGGTTAGAGTTAGAGCCACAAAGGATATAGTGGATTGGCCTTGGGGCATTCACATAGCACATGGACAAACGGCAGACAATGATATTTCACAGTCCACAGTTTGGCTGCTGGCAGCAAGCTTAATAGGCATCAGGATACCATAGGGTCATGTAGTGTTTCGTTCTGGGCCAATGACCCAAATGAGCACCTTGGGGGCTGAGAAGGAGTGGCAGGCCAAGGACATTGGAGACCACTCTAATCTCATTCTGGACCCCCGGGGCCTACCTCTAGTTCTGGTCAGCCCAAGCCCCATGCCAGACACAGGACCAGGATGCTGTGCGCCTCACACTGGAGCAGATTGACCTCATTCGTCGCATGTGTGCCTCCTACTCTGAACTGGAGCTTGTGACCTCAGCCAAAGGTGGGCTGGCAAATGGGGAGATAGTTAGGGGCTCACTCTGATGGTTCTGGCCCTGGGCCCTGACCACTTGATTATCCATCCTCTTCTAGGTCTGAACAGCACTCAAAAGCTGGCCTGCCTCATTGGTGTGGAGGGTGGTCACTCACTGGACAGCAGCCTTTCTGTGCTGCGCAGTTTTTACCTGCTGGGAGTGCGCTTCCTGACACTTACCTTTACCTGCAACACGGCCTGGTGAGCATAGTGCCTAGCCACGGTGAAATGGTAGATGACATGGTGGGGCAACTGCCAGACAGGTGAGGACAGAGGGATCCACAAAAGGAGGCTGGACTCTCAACAGGTCCTTCACACTCCCAGAAAGCATCTGGCCCAGGGCCTTACTCTATTCCAGGGGCGGGGAGGGGGGGGGGGGGGGGGGGGGGGGGGGGGGGTGTGGATAGACAAACAGAGGGACTGCAGAGCCCCCAGGCTCTGATGCCCAGGATGTTGCCTTTGAGATTGCCTTCTTCTGGCTGTCCCACAGGGCAGAAAGTTCCACCAAGTTTAAACACCACTTCTACACCAACGTCAGTGGGTTGACAAGCTTTGGTGAGGTGAGGATTCCTGTTCCATACCCTACCCCACCCGTTCTCTACCTACAGATAGTGTACACGTGTGTGCATCCTTGACATCTCCCCCACCTCAAAAAACAAACAAACTGTCTTTGCAGAAGGTGGTAGGGGAAATGAACCGCCTGGGCATGATGGTGGACTTGTCCTATGCGTCAGACACCTTGGTGCGGCAGGCACTGAAGGTGTCGAGGGCTCCCGTGATCTTCTCCCACTCAGCTTCCAGGGCTGTGTGCGACAATTTGCTGAATGTTCCTGATGACATTCTGCAACTTCTGGTGAGCAGCTACCTCAGCCCTCATACCCAGAGCTAGGCGCGTTTCATGCAAACATTCTTGACCTTGAACAAAGCTACCAGTCCAGGCCTCACCCTTGGACCCATGGCTGGTTAACCTTCCCCATCTCTGAAAATTGAGGCCAAATCAGCTCCACTCAGGCTCCCACAAACCCAGAGCTGAAACCTCTTCCAGCCCCTGAAGCCAGGACTGAGCCCTGTCCTACTAGGCCCCCAGGGCACAGAGCAGGCCATCAGGCCTGAAGAGCCAAACTGAGGGGGCTGAGTGTTCATTTCTTTATCCTTCTAGAAGAAGAATGGTGGCATTGTGATGGTGACGCTGTCTATGGGGGTGCTACAGTGCAACCTGTTGGCTAATGTGTCCACCGTGGCAGGTGAGCCTCACTTCAACTTCTTGTGCAGTTTGAGCTTGAACCTGTGGCCATGGGGCCTTCAGGACAGCTCCAGCAGTGTAGCACACCTGTTGGGCAATGGGCAGACCTCTGACAACCCAGGAGACAAGACACGGCTCTTCGCTGCCACCCAGATCTGGGGCCACAGTCAATGTTGATGGATTTGGGGGAAGCAACTGCCCCTGCCTCTGAATGTCTTTTGCTCTCACCTCTCTGGACAGGACAGATGCGTTCTCAAGGAACCCAGAGGCAGGGTGGCTTCTGGGCAGAAAAAATTCTAAAGAGACACAGTTCAGCCTGTAGTCACTTCAGAACTCACAATGGGCTGGGAGCTCCATGAAGTCAGCTGCCATGGCCTGGAGTGCTGTGGGCAGGAGAACTGGTCAGGACTGAGTTTCCCCAGATCAGGGCTGGTCCCAGGGCCTGACTCCAGCATAGTGCTGCTCACACTAACCTCTGCCACCTAGATCACTTTGACCACATCAGAGCTGTCATTGGATCAGAGTTCATTGGGATTGGCGGGAATTATGATGGGTCTGGTCGGTGAGTATTTCCCTGGGGTTTGTCTTGAGCAGGGCACAGCAGGGAGTCCTTTAGTCTCTCCATTCCATGGTCCTCCCACCCTTCAGACCTCATCTACAGGCTCTGGTTTTCCAGCTCACTTGACGTCTCTCCACTCCCAGGGGCTGATTCCTGGGCTCTCCCTGTCCCTCCAGTGGCCTGGTGGACCCACTGCCACTCCAGATCGTCACATTAATTAAGTATTCCCCGACACCCCACCCCAGCAGAGCCCATTTACCTAGCACCTGCTGCAGTCCCAGCTCAGCAGATCTGTTGTAGGCCAGCCATCTGCTCAGGGGGTAGACACCACAGAAGCTCTGTCTTCAAGGAGCTTCCAAAGTGACATTCAGTAGCCTGGAGAATATGGCCTTCAATTTCACATGTGTGATTGGGGCTGGTGGGACACTGGGCCCTAGACCAGGATCAGGGCTCAGGTTCCACAGCTGGTGGCCCATGGCCACACAGGTTCCCTCAGGGACTAGAGGACGTGTCCAAATACCCAGTACTGATAGAGGAGTTGCTGAGTCGTGGCTGGAGTGAGGAAGAGCTCCAGGGTGTCCTTCGTGGAAACCTGCTGCGGGTCTTCAGACACGTGGAACAGGTATGCTGGGTTGGGCAAAAGGATAGTGCAGTGGTTAGAGTGGGTGAGAGAGGTGCTATGGGAGCCACTAACTGCTGACTCCCACCCCCAGGTGAGAGAGGAGAACAATGGACAGAACCCTGTGGAGGATGAGTTTCCAGACAGGCAGGTGGTCAGGTCTTGCCACTCCCACCTCCTATCTCAGCTTCAGAGTGAACACCTCGCCACACACCTGGAGGTGACCGAGTGGCCAATCAGTCAGGTCCTCCGGAGGCCCTCAAAAGCTTCCCCATACTTTGTTCTAAGTTTCTTGGTTGCTGCCACCTTCTCAATCCTCATCCTGTAGTTCTGGTGAGCTGGCCAGTCTCCCAGAGGTCTCTGTGGCAAAGTCTCACAAAGTCCCCTTCCTAGTCATCCAGGCACAAGTGTATGCTGAGAATAAACATTTTGGGTATGGAGCCAAATGTGAAAGTCCTTCCTTCTCCCTGGGGAGCAGGGGAGTGGGGTCTGGTGGGCTCTTGGTTGGTGAGGGGTCTTGTAGGTCTCACCTCAGTTTCTCAAGTGAGTGGCCTCCAACTTGGTCTCTTTTGGGAAGGGCAGAGGCATCTTACCATGTTATTATGATAAAAGCCTGAGCCCACAAAAGAGCACAAAGAAATCTAGTTCAAGTGTGGTATCTATCCCATCATGGAGTGTAACAATGGGTGGGTTAGCAGTCTCTGAAAGGTTTACATTTGTTTGTTTGTTTGTTTGTTTGTTTGTTTGTTTGTTTGTTTGTTTTTAAGAAGCTGAACCTAGAGGGCACCTGGGTAACTCAGTGGGCTAAGTGTCAGACTTGATTTTGGCTTAGGTCATGATCTTGTGGTTTATAGGTTCAAGCCCCACATCAGGCTCCACATGAGGAGTCTGCTTGGGATTCTCTCCCTCCCTCCCTCCCTCTCTCCTTGCCCCTTCCTCTCTCTCTCTGCCTCTCTCTCATGCCCCTTCCCCCCTCTCAAAAATAAATTAATTTTTTAAAAATTTAAAAAGAGTGAAAGAGCAAGCCAAAGAGTAAATTTTCAACATATATAATTGACGAAAGGCATATATCCAGAGGCAGACAACCCCATATAAAAATGGGGAAGATATTTGAATAGGAACTTTACAAGGATGGATATTCAATTGGCCAATAAGAAGATGAAAAGATAGTCAACCTTATTAGCCATTAAGGAAATGCAAAATAAAACTCATAGTAAAGACACCTAAAATTTAACAGGTGAACAATACCAAGTGTTAGCAATGATATGGAGCAAGGAGGATACCCTGCTGGTGGCTGATTCAACTGATAAACACTGCTTTGGAAGACAGTTTGACATTTTTTTTTTTTTACTAAAGTTGAAGACATATACCCAAGGACAGTTACACACAACGTGCAAGAATCTCTCAAAGTAATGTTGAGTGAAGGGAGCCAGTACAAAATAACATATATTATGTCATTCCATTTATATAAAGTACAAGCAAAACTGATCTATACCGTTACAGTCAGTTTTTGGGGAGGTATTGCCTGGAAGGGGGCGTGAGGAAGCACTTCTGGGTAAAGTGCTGTATCTTGGGTCCTGGTTGCATGGGCGTGTTCATCTTGTGAACATTTCAGCATGCTGTATACACTTATGGTATGTGAACTTCTCTGTATGGATATTTTTTTCTCAATAAAAAGTTTTTTAAAAAACTGGGGCCCCTGGCTGGCTCAGTCCGTAGAGCAGGCAACTCTTGATCTTGGGGTTGGAGTAGAGCCTCTTGAAAAAACAAAACAAAACCCAGAAAAGACTAAACTTAATGTTCAGGGATGCATGCTCAGGTTGAGACTTTAAATAAGAAAACAAGAGGGCACCTGGGGGTTCAGTCATTAAGCTCTGACTTCAGTTCAGGTCATGATGTCACGATTCAGGAGTTTGAGTCCCACATCGGGTGAGCTTGAGCCTTGCTTCCAGTAAAACACAAGCCCTGCTTCTCCCTCCCTCTCTCTCTCTCTCTCTGTCTCCCCCACTGCCTCTCCTGGGATTCTCTCTCTATCTCTGCCCCTCACTCACTCGCACCCTCCCTCTCATAAACAAACAAACAAATAATAAATAAGAAAACAAGAAGTGGTATCATCAAACCCAGATACTTAGAAAATGCCTGACTTACACAATGTTATGTGTCAATTACATCTCCATTTAAAAAAACAAAGACTGGGGCGCCTGGGTGGCGCAGTCGGTTGAGCTTCCAACTTCGGCCAGGTCACGATCTCGCGGTCCGTGAGTTCGAGCCCCGCGTCGGGCTCTGGGCTGATGGCTCAGAGCCTGGAGCCTCTTTCCAATTCTGTGTCTCCCTCTCTCTCTGCCCCTTCTCCGTTCATGCTCTGTCTCTCTCTGTCCCAAAAATAAATAAACGTTGAAAAAAAAATAAAAATAAAAAATAAAAAAACAAAGACAAAAAAAAAAAAGTGTCTGTGGTTGGTGGGGAGGCATGGGGTAGCAATTGGAGGAGGCATTAAGGAACTTCTGGAGTTCTGGCAATGTCCATACCTTGCCTGGGATGGTGGTTATTTAGGGGTGCACTTTGTGGTAATACACTAAGCTGCCAGGTGGGCTGAAGAGTCCGCTCCCCAACTTCTATCCTCACACTCCCATTCCCCAATTCTGTTCTCCCAGCAATCACTCAGCACTTTTAACTGTCGATATTTACTGGTATTTTCCTCCATATTTCTAAATAATGTATTTAATTGCCAGCTGTTTATTTTTTTTCAGTTTATTTATTTGAGAGAGAGAGACAGAGCATGCACATGAGCAGAGGAGGGGGAGAGAGGGAGAATCCCAAGCAAGCTCTGTGCCCAACAAAAGAGCCCAACGTGGGTGGGGGCTCAAACCCACAAACTGCAAACACATCACCTAAGCCAAAACCAAGAGTCGAACAGGTTCAACTAACTGAGCCACGCAGTCATCCCAAATGCCAGCTCTTTAGACATACATTTTAGATATTATTTATTGACTCAGTAATTTGAAAAGTGAGGATTTTGTTTTTATTTTCTTAACCCTTTTTAAAGTTTATTTTGAGAGAGAGATCATGGGGGAGAGTCAGAGAGAGAAGGAAAGGGAGAATCCCAAGCAGGCTCCACGCTGTCAGCATGGAGCCCAATGTGGAGCTCGAACCCACGAACCATGAGATCATGACCTGAGGTGAAACCTAGAGTCAAGACGCTTAACCTATTGAGCCACCCAGGTGCCCCCCAAAGTCCAGAGGACTTTTAGCTCTCACTCCCCCTCTCTCCTCCTATCATCCTCTAAATATTAGAATTATTTGGTTAATTACATCTTGGATTTTTTGTTTGTTTTTAAACAAGTTTACTGAGATAAAATTGATATACCACACAATTCACCCATTTGAAGTGTACAGTTCAAGGGCACCTGGGTGGCTCAGTCAGTTAAGCGTCCAACTCTTGGTTTCAGCTCAGGTCATAATATCACAGCTCATGGGTTCAAGCCCCGCACTGGCTCTGCACTGCAGTCTAGAGCCTGCTTGGAATTCTTTCTCTCTCCCTCTCTCTCTGTCCCTCCCCTGCCCACATGATCTCTCTGTTTCTCTCTCAAAATAAGTAAATAAAATTAAAAAAATAAAGTGTACAGTTCAGTGGTTTTCGTATATCACATTATTTTTTTTAATTGTAAAAGATATGTAACAATTTGCCATTTTAACCATCTTCAAGTGCAGAAACCAGTGGGCTTAAAAACACTCACAAATGTTGAACAAACATCATGGTATTTCCAAAACTTGGTCATTATCTCAAACAATGTAATGTAATTATTAAGCAATACCTTCCTGTTTCCCCTCACCTCAGCCCCTGGTAACCTCTATTCTTTTTTCAGTCTCTTTGAATTTGTCTATTCTAGATAACTTATATGCAGCATTTGTCCTTTTGCATCCAGCTTATTTCATTTAACAAAATGTCTTCAAGGTTCATCTGCCTTGTAGCATATATCAGACTTTATTCCTTTTTATGGCTGAATAATATTCCATTGTAGGTACAGATCACAGTTTGTTATCTACACATCTGGTGATGAAAACCAAGGTTGCTTCCACCTTTCAGATGCACAATGAACACTGGCATACAGATACCTGTTCAAGTCCCTGCTTTCAATTCCTTTGTTTTTTGGGGTTTTTTTTTTAAGTATCTTTATTTATTTTTGAGAGAGAGAGAGAGAGGGAGTGCAAGTGAGCAGGGGAGGGGAAGACAGAGAGAGGAGGACAGAGAATCTGAAATGTGCTCTGAGATGACCACGAAGAGCCTGATATGGAGCTCGAACTCACGAACCATGAGATCATGACCTGAGCCAAAGTCAAATGCTTAAACAACTGAGTCACCCAAGCACCCCTGTGTCTGGCTTCTTACATTTAGTGTGTTTTCAAGGTTTGTTCATGCTGTAGATTTTCTCCATTTTTTATTTTACTCTTTTTCTGGGGTTCCTGTTGTGCAGATATCCTATTTCTATCCTCCATCTTTGTTTTCCCTTTCATTGTTTTCTCTTTCTTCTTTTGGGACGATTGCTTAATTTGGTCTTTCCAATTTATTAATTCATTCTGAATTACAAATTTTTTTCAAATATTATTGTGGTAACTTTAATACATGGTCCCATATTTCTTTGATACTTCTCCCATCCAGAGATGGGTTCAGTGCCTCCCCACCCTCTCTTGAATCTGGGCTTGGTTATTGCTTGAGCAGTAAAATACAGCAGAAATGATGCTGGGCCTGTTTCCAGGCCAAGACCTAGAGAAACTGTCAGTTTCTACTCCCTGCTTCTTGGGGTGCTCATTCATGAACTGCAGCCACTATACCATGAGGAAACCAAGCAGCCCGTGGAGAGGTACACATGTTGGGTACCCAATCCCCTGATCCACAGCCCCACTGAGCTCTTAGCCTATAGCCAGTAACAACTTGCTAGCTGTGTGAATGAGTCATCATGGAAATGGATCTTCTGGTTCCAGCTGATGCCATGTAGAGTAGAGTGGAACTTTACTCAGCCAGCAGGTTTGTGAACAAATGTTTTTGTTGATTGTTATTTTAAACCATTGTTATTTTGGGGTAATTTGTTATGTAGCAATAGACACCTGGAATAATTATATTTTTTCATATCTTGTATTCCTTCTTGAGCTTTTCAATATTTTCTGGTTTCGTATTGCTAATATTTTACCTTATCTTTTTGTAATGTTTATTAAGCTAATTTGGAATTTTTGTTGCATGTGTTCTAATAATTTTCCTGATAGATGTATTCTTTATATATATATTATATATATATA